AGGGGACACGGCGTGACAATGGCAGTGGGTCAGGGAGACCCTGGGGAAGGGGGGGTGTGGGGAGGGGTGGGACTGTGAAAGGGTTTTTTTGGTTTTGTTTTTGTTTTATTTAATACACTTGTTTTAACCTAAGGCTCACGTTCTGGGGGTGAGGGTGGAATGGGAGCAAGGGACAGGGAGAGGAGAGAGGTCATGGATGTGGCAGGGAGGAGAGATGTCACCGTGGGGTGGGCATGGGTGGAAATGGTGGATGCTGACACCAGGAAAAAAAACAGGTTCCATAAAAACCTCAGCATGGGTTTTTTTTATTTAATACATCTGTTTTAACCTAAGGCTCACGTTCTGGAGCTGGGGGTGGAATGGGAGCAAGGGAGTGGGACAGGGAGTGGGACAGGGAGAGAGGTCATGGGGACAGGCAAAGCATGTGACACAGAGGAGAAATGTCACCATGGGGTGAGCACGGCTGGGAATGGTGGATCCTGACACCAGGACAAAACAACAAGTACCACAAAAACCTCAGCATGGGCCAAGCTGTGCTGGATGTGCTCCCTAATCCAGCCCCGTGGGACCCACCCTGCACTGCCACCCACCCCTCAATGCTCCATGGTCCCTGGGGTGCCCCCACTGCTCCCTGGCTGTCCTCCCACCCCATTTCCAGCATCCTTGAGCTGCCTTTTCAAAGCCAAGCCAGCTGTACATTTTGCTGCTCTTTGCTTTTTTTATTAAAAAAGGAAAACTCAACGCCTGACATTGCTGGGTCTGTGGAGCAGCCCCGAGGGGCTTGTGAGGGTGTACGAGGCTGGGCCTGGGGAATGTGCAGGGACACCTGTGGGTGTGCACAGACATACGTGGGTGTGCAGGGACACGTGGGTGTGCAGGGAACTGGTGGGTGTGCAGGGAACTGGTGGGTGTGCAGGGACATGTGTGGGTGTGCACAGACACACGTGGGTGTGCAGGGACACATGTGGGTGTGCAGGGACATGATTGGGTGTGCAGGGACACCTGTAGGTGTGCAGGGACACACGTGGGGGTGCAGGGACATGTGTGGGTGTGCAGGGACGTGTGGGTGTGCAGGGACAGCTGTGGGTGTGCACAGACACACGTCGGTGTGCAGGGACACACGAGGGTGGGCAGGGACACCTGTGGGTGTGCAGGGACATGTGTGGGCGTGCAAGGACACCTGTGGGTATTCAGGGACACATGTGAGTGTGCAGGGAGACTTCAGCGTGGGTGTGCAGGGACATCCATGGGTGTGCAGAGACATGTGTGGCCTGTGCACACTCACAGGTGCAGGGACACCTGTGAGTGTGCACAGACACACGTGGGTGTGCAGGAACACACGTGGGCATTCAGAGACACCCGTGGGCGTGCACAGACATGCGTGGGTGTGCAGGGACACACGCGCCTGTGCAGCATCCACCTGCAACGAGGCGCAGGGAGAGCGGGGAGCAGGGAACAGCTCTCTCACAGCCATCACTCTCTCCTGTGGGTGCCCCCGTGCTGTTTCCCCCTCCAGCCGCTGGCCCTTTAAGAGCCGTAATTCGGCGCGGTCCCTTTAAGGCCCGGCCGCCCTCTTTACTGCGGGCCGGAAGCGAGTGGGCACTTCCGGTGCGACCTCTGCCCGCTCCCAAGATGGCGGCGGCTCTCCGGTGCTGACNTGTGCCACCGCGGGAGGAGCGCGGCCATGCCCCGCTCCTGGGGGGCACCGGAGGATCCCGTTGTGCAGGGTTGAGTATGGGGGTACATGGGGGGTGGGATGGGGCTCATGGGCTGTGTTTTGTGGGGATAAACAAAACTCTACAGCTTTTGTGAAAGTTGTAAAGCCAGGATGTTTATTACAGCGCTAGACGCATGTGGGAATCGTTCCCTTAAAATGACATGTGTACTTCTGGGAGCTTCAGGTCCCTTTTTATCCCCGTCTCAAATACATATGCACACAATTTCACAATATTTATTTTATAGATATTTACATTTATATTTATAAATATTTACATTATATTTTATAAATATTTACATGTTTATTTTTACAAATTTCGCGTGGCATTTGCCGCTAGTTCTTCTTTATCAGAAAGAATTCCTAGGTCAGGTTGAGTTGCTCTCACAGCATTCTCTGTCTCTCTCTATCACTTTCTGTCTCCTCCCCCCTTATCTCTGTCTTTCACTGAAGCAGTTTCTCTGAGCTTAGGTGTGATAATGTTCACAGGGGTCTGAGGTTGAGGGAGGAGACGAGGATTTGACTCCATGTTTCAGAAGGCTTGATTTATTATTTTATGATATATATTACATTAAAGCTATACTAAAAGAATAGAAGAAAGGATTTCCTCAGAAGGCTGGCTAAGAATAGAATAGGAAAGAATGATAACAAAAGCTTCTGTCTCAGGCAGAGAGTCTGAGCCAGCTGACTGTGATTGGCCGTTAATTAGAAACAACCACATGAGACCAATCCCAGATCCACCTGTGGCATTCCACAGCAGCAGATAACCATTGTTTACATTTTGTTCCTGAGGCCCCTCAGCTTCTCAGGAAGAAAAATCCTAAGGAAAGGATTTTTCATAAAAGATGTCCATGACATTTAGGCTTTTTGCAGCTAGACTACACAGCAAGATGTACATTCTACCTAAATCAAACTAGATTTCTACCCT